TTTGCTTTCTCAACATTTGTCTGTGCATGTTGTCTTTTATATTTAAGGTTATTTGTTCTTTGCTTTGTTAGGTGGAAAAACATGGATTCAAATCAATGTGTTGGGTGGCCTTCATGGCCTACCACTTGGCACGGTTACCAAGACCATGCTGCTGGGTGTGCTTCACACCCTAAACCGTAATCAGCAAATCCGGCCCATAATTACCAGGTCGGGGATAAAAACATATTGGCAAACCAAAACATCAGTAATAAATTTATTTTATTATCAAAAGGTGGAAAGAAAATCAGGTAAAAAAATATAGATCACAAAAAACTAAAGTAAGTTATAGAATAGTAAATATTTTAGATTTAGGTCGAAAAAAACGTAGTGAAAAAAATAGATATGTAAAAATGACATTATATAGGATTATGATTTTCAGTTATTCTATAGATACATTTAAGCCATCAAACAATACTTTTATGGCCGTACTTGTGTCATTAAAGTAATATTTGATAATTTATTGTCTAAACTTTTAATAAATCCAACAACAATGCTTATTTTGTTGTCGTAACACAAGATATATCATACATTTATTGGAAGCACAAAATGAAACAACAACAATAATATTAAACAAAAGAACTACATTAATAAATGACAAAAATTATAAACCAAGGTATAGGATTATTATTCAAAGAAAAAACAAAAAATACCTTTAATATCGGATTGCAATTAACTAAAACTGAAAACAAAGACCCAAATATATAAAATGGTGCTCCATCCAAAATGCTATATCTTATACACCAATGAAGTAAAAAATTTAAAAATACAATTATGAAATGAAACTTCTCTACGAATAAAGAAAACAACAGAATGCTTAAGTAAATTCAAATCTCATATTGAATTCCTATCTGGCTAAATCTTTAGTATCATTGAATATCTCTCTTGTTCCTTATAAAGATACTCTCGGTTTAAAGAAAAAACAGATATTTCATTGGGTTACTCTTCTTCTAACTCTACTTATTATTTTGATATATGATTGTTGTGATGCCTTATTTTTTTAAAGAATATATTGTTTGTATTTTTTCATACATTTTTTTTAAGGTAACTTATTGGTGAAATTTCCGATGAAATCTTTTTTATTAAATCAATATTCGTAATTTACTCCCACGGTTAATGTTCTTATCTTTAAACCAGAAAATTCAATAATATTAAGTTAATAAAGAAATAAAGTGAAAGGGAAGATTTTTTTTTAAAAAAAAGATAAAATATAGATTTATATCAATTATGTTAAAAAGATGTAATTTTTTGAAGATCTTTTAAAAAACTTGAAGTTCTTAACAGATTCCAAAAAATCGCATATTTTTTGAAAAAAATCATGTTTTAAGCAGAGACTTGCTAACATGATAAGGGTTCAATACCCGACTCAGACGAGTCTTGGACAAATAAATCTTGAACCAGAAATGCTTAAGACAAGGGATATCTTTCTAGGGTGTAGTTGGCATACGGATGCATATGTAGGTGTAGAGGTTAAGTGCACCTTCAAATTTTATCATGGTATATAATTTTGATGTAAACTGTTATTAGGATTATCTCAAAATTTATTTTTCTATCTAATTATAAAATTTTAAATTTAAAAAATGGTTAAAATCAAGTAGATCTATAAAC